TTAACAATAAAGATGTAAGTTCCCGTGAATCCCACGCGGCCTGCCTTGTGGCCCACGTTCTGTGTGGGAGGGGGTACAGCCACATGTATGGTGGTGGTCTCCACGCCCGAATTCACAGGGGTCTCAAAGTCAACAACACATCCCCCAAGCTCCTCACTGGTTCTCACAAAGGGGACCAAACAGTCTCAGGGCCAAAGTTTTGTTTCAAGTAGTTCTCTTTATCAATTACAAGAATTTCAGGAAACAAATCTAAGAGGTTATGGCATAGAAAGGAATAAAATGAAAGCAGACCATTTTAGCAGCTTTCCAAAAAATGTAACTATTGTGGTAGGCCAGGGAGCCAGTGCCTGAGTCAGCCCAGTGGAGCCCTTCTGGTGTCCGGTGATGAATTCTAACCCTCACATCAGATTCCCACTCAAAGTGCCTTGTTTTGTGCTGCGTGAACTTGCATCATCAGTCTTTGGAGCCGCGTGTGTCGGCATCTACCTGCTCCGAGTCTGGGTTCCTCACTGCTCAGAGGGAGGGACTTGGGTGGCGCTAGTGTCCAGACGAAAATGACGGTGCCAGTCAGCACGGGGAAGGCCACCCCAGGTCAGCTGGTTCCAGGCCCTGTGCGCCACCATCTCCTGTAAAGGCCACCGGAGGAGCGGCTCTCTGTGGTCTCATGGGCGGCTCTGGGACGCAGTTCCCTTGTTTGCAAACTTCATCTGCCAAACGTCAATTCTGAGAACTGGGGGCCAGCCCGCCACTTTCTCCTTGATGAGCGCCCGAAATGAAGTCATAGCATTTAGGGACCCCAGCGCATAAGCGTTGTTCGTGCAAGAACACCTGCATTGCGCGCTCGGACACTGCACTCACTCTGGGCCCCGCCCCGACAGTGCTTGACTAGGTTTCCCCTTAGACACAAAGACAGAGACGGCAGGACTGGACGCGTGGACGCGCCGGGCAGCAGGCGGCTCTAACGGACGCGGGCTTCTCCCTCCTCTGAACAACCCAGCTGCGTCACGCCCGGATGCCCGGGACCTGCGCTGCCCCGAGTGTTGTCCCACCTGTGGCTCCAGCCGCAGCTTGGCCCGGCTCGGCCCTCCGTCCTCCGGGCGCCCACAGAGACGCCGGCCCACAGAAGGGCTCCCAGAGCGCGGGAAACGGATTTTGGAGGCGCCGGTCGCCGCCAGCGCGCTGTGGCTGCAAAGCAGGAGCGCGAGCAGCGGGACTGGACAATGTCCACGAAAGCGGCTACAGCAAAGCTTCGCCCGAAGCGGCGCGTGTTCTCTTGAGCACCTCCCACCCCTCGGGCCCGCAGGACCCCGCGCTGCCGGAGCGCCGGACCGTCGTCCTGGCTCCCCGCTGCCGCCCTCAGGCCTTTCCTCCCGCGTCGGTCGCGCCCAGCTTCCCGCCTCCGGCCGCGGGCGGGGCGCTCCGGGGACACCGGCCTCCCCTCCCGGCCGCTCCTCGCGGGCCCAGCCGCCCCGCCGCTTCCCGCACGAGAGTCCCTGCGGGTCGCAGCCCCGGCAGCTACGACGCAGCCGGGCACGGGGCTCCACGAGACGCGCTTCCCGAACGGACGCGCGGGGACGGGGCCGTCAGGAGGTCTGGACGGTGCAGAGAAACGAGCGTCGCCCCGGATCACGCGCGGTCCCGGCGGTAACCCGACCTTCCGCACGGATCCGTCCTCGCGTCCGTCTGCGCTTCGTTCCGTCCGGCTCCACCCACCCGGCGGTGCGGCGCGGAGGACCGCGGGGCGCCCGCCCGGCCCCAGCCTCACTCCCCGTCGCCCGACGGAGCCCCCGGCGCCGTCCCCTTAGGTCACCGCCGGGGCCGGACGTCCGAGGCGCACCTGCCAGGCCGGACGCGGGGGATGCCGCGCCGGGACCACCGCTCCGCACCGCCGCCACGTGGGAGCCGCGAGACCCCCGCACTCCACTCACGCGGAGGGCAGCCCGCTTTCGCTCCACGCGAGTCCCCGCCCCCGACGCCCAGGCCCCGCCCCCCTGCCGAGCCTGCGGCCGCCCCACACGAAGCCCCGCCCCGCCCCGCAGAGCCCGCCTTCGCCCCACGCGAGGCCCCGCCCCACCGCCCGTCCCGACGCCGCAGCGAGAACGCGCCCCGCCAGGCTCCGCCCCTGTCGGGAGTGGGCTGTCCCTCTCGCAGCCTGTCTTCTGGAGGTCGGTAACTCCTGCGGTCTGTGCCCGGGGTTCGCGCTTATCGGCGCCGACCTTGGTCGGGTCGCCTGTGAACACGCACCGGGCGCTCCTGCGGCCACGCTGCCAGGGTAGACGCGAGGTCCTGAAGTGACACTGGAGAGCAGGGTGCATGGGGAGGGGAAGCGGTTTCCGGTGGGGGTGGGGGCTGGCGGGGCGAGGGGGCCTTTCCGGGGCTGGAAGTCGGCGCGTGCCGGTGGCGTTAGAGCGTCCAAGTGCGCCCGCGCGTGCGCACCTGCGCATTGGCTGCCTCCCGGGGCATGCTGGGAGTCCCTGCGCTGGGGCGCCCGCTGCGGGCGCCGGCTCTGTGTGCGGCTTGGTTCTCCGCGCGCCTTCTCGAGGCTCGGCGGGAGACCGCGGTCCGTCGGCGCCCGGCGCGGTGCGCAAGCAGGGCCCGGCTAAGCCATCTCCCCCCAAGTTGAGTAACCCTCGACCTTGTTCCCCAGAGAACAGCCGCCCCCTCCCGGGATGGGCAGCTCTGGGAGACGACTCTCCCGGCTCCCCGCCCAGGACTCTGGGCCTCGGGCACGGCCATCACCCCGCCGGGCAGCGCCGGCCCTGTCCGCGCACCCGAGAACCCTGGGGAGAGCTGGGGGTACTCACGTGGGGAGGATAGAACTTAACCAAGTAGGACGGCACCTCGGGGGATTCACTGAAACCGGAAAGGGGAGCCCAGGCCCTGGGCGCTCCTGCGCTGGCGTCCCCGGCGCGGGGACGCGCGAGCGTGGGGGAGGCTGCTAGGCTTCGCAGCATTTCCGGTGGGCAGTGGCTTGGAAGGACCCCCGAACCGGGGAAGCCCCTCTCTGGGGTGGCGTACTGGGACGGTACCGCGGGAAGGCGGGACGCGGTCTGGATGGCCGCTGTGTGGCTCGGCTGCGCTCGGGCAGTTGCGCGATGTGACCGGGAAGGCTACACTGTGTGGGGCGCCTGCCTGGCCCTGGTCGTGATCCCAGGATCCTGGGGTGGGTGGGGGGAGTCCCACATCGGGCTCCCGGCCAGATACGGAGTCTGCTGCTTCTCTTTGTCCCTGCGCCTGCCACTACCCCTGCTCCTGCACTCGCTCTTTCTCTGACAAGCAAGTAAATAAAATATTTAAAAAAACAAAGTTTTTACAGAGTTAGACTGTGTTCATTACTGGTCAGTGTACCTGTGTATTCATGTACACATTGTCCACGCAGCTCTTCCAAAGCGGAAACCATAGTTCATCGTGTGTCAGTTTCCTGCCTCCGCTGTGACCCATTGTCACGGAGTCTCTTTACGGTTCTGGAGCTCAGAAGTGGGAAATGGGCGCTAGGTAGTTAAATCCAAGTATCCGTAGGCCTGGTTCCTTCCGGAGTTTCCAGGGGAGAACCTGCTGCCTTCCCGTCTTCAGAGCCCAGCCACTCCAGCCGTTGCTTCCCTTGTCACATCTGATTTTGACCTTTTGCCTCCCTTCTGTAAGGACCTCATGACTACTTTGGGCCTACCCAAGTCATCCAGGACCATCTTCCCATCTCAAAACCCTTACTTAGTCACACTGTAAAGACTCCTTTGCTGGGTAAGGTAGAGATTTGGACATACTCTCTTTGATCATTACTCTACCTACCATTACAAATGTTTCTTTTAAGAAAATGTGAGTACAGAGGAGTAGGAGCACATACTGAGATGTCAGAGCCTTTGTGTCTGGAATGTGGGCACGCTAGGGCTTTCCATTTTCTTTTTTCTTAAAGATTTCATTTATTTGAGAGGGAGCAAGAGAATGAGCTGGGACAGAGGGAGAGGGAGAAGGAGGCTCCCCATTGAGCAGGGAGCCAGATGTGGGGCTCAATCCCAGGACCCTGGGATCATGACCTGAGCCGAAGGCAGAGGCTTAACCCACTGAGCCACCCAGGCACCCCTCTAAATAAATAAATCTTAAAAAAAAAAAAAAAAGTTAGAAAAAAGTTCAACCTGACAGCTTGACCTGCTCTGAGGAGCTCATGGTGGCCCTGGGGTGGTTGCCTCTGCCTTAGCCTGCCTCTCTGAATCCACTGGGTTCTCTGGGACCCCTGGCCCCGCACTGGTGGCCCAGACCCCCTTGTCCATTGGAGCCCAGCAAGTCACCCAAGCAAGGATTGACCCAGCCAAATATTCTCCCGGATTGAATAACCCTCACTTTATTTCCCCAGAGAACCTAATCCCCAGGCAACAGGTCAGCTCCCAGTGTCCTCAGCCCCCATCCCATACTGTGCTGCCCGCTGGTGGTCACAAAGATGGGGTCAGGTCTGCAGTGAGCACCTGCGTTTATGAAACTGAACACCAAGGCACTTCCCTCCCAGCCTGCCCCAGCCTCGGGGCCTCAGCCCCCAGAGGCTCGCTGGCACTGGGGAGGAGACCTACCCGACCTCTGCCCTGGCCCTCCAGCACTCATCCCCGACTTGTTTTTAATCCTGCGTTATCCCCTGCCTTGCACTTTCCACACTGTAAATGCTATTAATTAATTTTTGGATTTCATGCGTTCCCCACATTGGACTGTGAGCTCCGCGGGGTCCGAGACCTTCGCTCTGCCTTGCTCACCAGCGTAGCCCAAGCGCCCAGCATAGCGCTCGGCACTCAGGAGGTGCTGGGTTAGCCTCGAGGCCGTGAACGCCTGTGTGACGAGGACGCATCCGGCAACCCCGCTGTAGCCCGTGTCCAAGTCCGCGCGCAGCCTCCGCCGGTGCGCCCGGGAGCGCGGACACGCGAGCTCCGCTGTGCGCGCCCGGGGCGGGGGCGGGGGCGACCTCGTCAGGCGGATGATGCGGAAAGCCCCCGACCTCAGGGGTTTTCCAAACACGGTCTTGTCCCGCCCGTTTATGAAACCCGAGGTGCCCTGGAAGCTCTTTCCCTGCGGGCCGCGGTGTTCCTAGCGGGCAGAGGTTCGGGTTTCCTTCTTGGGATGCCGGCGCTGGCGTGAGGCCCTGCGTCGGAGCTGCCGCGTCCACGGAGCGCCCTGCACGGTGGTGCGGCTCCTGTGTCCTGGGGGGCGGGCGGGTCACCCCCGTGCTCCGCCGGCGTCCCGGGCCGTCCCCGGCCTTTCGCCCCGCCTGCGGCCCGCCCCAGCGCGTGACCCCGCCCCGGGACGTGGGGCGGACCGCACCCCAGGCACAACGGAAGCGGAGGCTCGGCGGCCGGTGAGCGGCGCGGGGCCGGGGTGCCGGGGGGCGGGCGCGGGGAGCGGGGCTGGTGGGCGGCGGGTGCCTGCTCGCGGGGTGACCCCGCGCCGGCCCGGGACAAATGCGCCGTCTTCGGCGCGCGCGGAGGTGGGTGGCGGCCCTGGGCGGCCTCGGGCGGACCCCGGCGCGTCCCTGGCCGCCGCCCGCGCCTCGCACAGGTAATCGCGCGGCCCGCCGCCGCCTGCGCGGGGCTCAGCGGGCCCAAGACGCCCCTGCCTTGCGGTCCGGCTCGGCGCGGGCTGAGGGACCGCCACCCTGCTCCTGGCCTCGGGGCGCGGCCCCTTCTCACACGTGAAAGCATTAAGTGCCCTTCGGGACCTTGGGGAGCAGCCCAGCTGCTGGGGGTCTTGATTCCGGGAGAAACAGGGCGTCGCGGCGTCTTCGCTGCGCGTCTTCGGCTTCCTAGGGTTCTCGAAGGGATCCGTGATGCACAGAGGTTCGGAAGAGCCCCCGAGTCCCGACACCGGCGAAGAGGTTTCCCCAGGGTCTGGTCGAGCCCGGGGCGGGGTGGCGTGTGCGGGCGCTCGGCGGCTCCGTCCGGCTTTCCCGTCCTCGTTCTTAACCTCGGATCACCCGGGCAGAGCCCAGCCCCCTGACGGCGGGCCGCATGGTGAGGGAGGGTCCCACTGAACTCGCCCCTCCCTCGCGTTCTCCAGGGGCGATGACTAAGGGTTCTGGAGTGGGTGATTTACTGACCACACCCTGGGCTCCGGGGCAGACGGGTCTGGGTTTTGCTCACGTGGCCGGGGCAGTGGGCTGGGCAAACTCTGGCTTCCTCCTTTGGTTGCTTGTGTGACCCGGCCAGTTACGCGACCTCCGACCCTCAGTATTTCCCGCTGGCCCATCAGTTAGGGTGTGCACGGGGGTCTCGTCTGCTGGCTGGCACTCAGAGCCTTTACTGGTCTGTCCCCCCACTGGCTGTAGGCTCTGAGCCCGCCTGGATGGAGGCGGGGATTCCTCCCTTGAGCACCGCCAGGCCCCGCTAGGCACGGCCAGGAACACAGATGAGGCAGTGTTCCTAGGAAACTGCGGTTTCACAGAACCAGGAGCCTCTTGCGGGCTTCAGTCAGCGTGTTTGTCCCGGCCTTTCTGAAGGGCGGCTGAATGTCCGGGTGTGAATCCTTCCTGGGCTTTCTGATTACTCTTGAATGAAACCCAGCTCTCTTCTCTGGCTCCCTCCTTCAGGGCCTCGGGAACACCCCTGTGCAGTTAGCGTCCACCTAGAACTCTGGTACACTAGACAGTTAATCAGTTCTTGGGGCTCTGTGCGTCCCTGGTGAGGTGTTTCAGGGCACGTGACCTGCTCCCATGCCAGCCTCATTTGCCAAAGTCCTGCCTGATTTCTCCGTGGGCCTGGGCTGACCCAGGGTGGGGCAGAGGACGTGTTCCGGCTTGTTTGGAGTCCCTAGAAAGGAATTGTGGACACAGACACCGAGTGGCCACCCATGTGTGCAACACCAGAGTGCAGGCCAGTGGGCCTGGGGTCTCCCCTTTACCTCCTCAGCCCTTTCCAGGGCAGTTGACCTGTGGCTGGTGGCCCTTGAGGAGCTGTTAGCTGGCCACAGGCACCTGTCCTCCCACCAGCTGCTTCAGGGTGGCGAGGCTCAGGCCTGTGCTCCTTAAATGCCAGGTGGGGGGGGGGCACTGCTCCGGTTGCTGGCCCTTGTGCCCCACCAGCTGGGGTCTCCACACCGTGGTGTCACCAGGCAAGTGAGAGATCGCGGCTTCAGATGGCCAGCACTAGTCCTGGTGCTCCTGGGTAGGCAGGGCCCATAACGCGGAGTGCAGGAGGCTGAGACGTGAGGCTGCTGCTGTTCCTCTGTGGTGGCCTTTGTTTGGGGAGCCCAGTGGCTGCAGCCTCCCTTTGTCTGCCCCGATTTGTGCTCCTGGAGGCTGAGGTGGAGAAGGGCACTGGCCAAGGGAGTGGCTCTGGCTTCTGAAACACCAGCACCCCCCGCCCCCGCCTTGGGGGTCCTGTTACGACTCCTTTCCGTCTGCTGGCTCTCTGGCCTGTCACATACTGAGAGTTTGGCTGAGATGTTCTCCTCCCTCTGCCTTCTGTCTAGAAAACACTTGGGCTCGAACCATGAACCTCGACATCCAGTGTCAGGAGCTGAGTGACGCCCGGTGGACAGAGCTCCTGCCTCTGGTGCAGCAGTACGCGGTGGTCAGGTAGAAGCCAGCCGCTTGGTGTGCGGGCGTGGGCATGGCGCACGGGCTCCCCTCCCACTGCCGCTGGGCTGCGAAAGCACGGTTTATGGACTCGCTGTGAATTGTTAATGATTTTCACACGCACGAGATGTTACTGTACTTTCTTCCCGCTCTCTGAAAACGTCAGCCTCTTCCTGGCTGAGGCGGGGTGGCCCGGGCTTGGCATAGAGGCTCTGAGGGCCTGTCCCCTTGCTGCAGGGGGCTGGGGCGCCGTCCCTGCTGGTGGTGGGCTGGGAAATGGAGTCAAGACTGGGTTTGGTTGTTGAGTTCTCCCGGGGTGTCCCTCGGAGGCACGGGATCCTTTTCCCAGCATTTCCTCTGTTCGGTTTTCCTGCGGAGATAGACGGGCTTTCCTCCACAGATGGTGCCGCACGGGAAGGCGTGGGGAGCATGGGGCCCCACACGGGCCTCTGGTGGTGCCGGGCCTGCAGCAAAAGCCTCGTGAGATAATCCACACACTTTTCTGCTTCTTTTCTTTAAGCTTATTTTTTTAAATAACCTGTATGCCCCTGTGGGGCTTGAACTCACCACGCCTGGATCAAGGGTCACTCGTGGGCTCCTCTGACTGAGCCACCCAGGAGCTGTCCCTCCCCCAGGTTGAGCTCTTGGCCCACGAATGGGCCAGGACCTGTCGTGTGTGGTGACTTGGCGTCCTGTCCACAGGCTGGACGACTGTGGCCTCACGGAGGAGCGGTGCAAGGACATCTGCTCTGCCCTCCAGGCCAACCCCTCCCTGACCGAGCTGAGCCTTTGCACCAATGAACTGGGTGACGGCGGGGTGCGCCTGGTGCTCCAGGGCCTGCAGAGCCCGGCCTGCAAGATCCAGAAGCTCAGGTGAGCCGGTGTGACCCACGTGGTCCAGAGGCGTGCCCCATCCCTGGCTCAGGTCCGAACCTGCTTGGACAGTCCTGGAGCACGGGGGCCCTTCCTGCCTCGGCCGAGGCCCCCGGTTCCCCTGGGGTGTGGTCGTGCCACAGCCCCGCCTGTCATTCCTGAGCGCTCGGCCCAGCTTCCTCTGGACCTCGCAGTGCCTCTGAGCAGCCCCTCTTGTGCTCTGTCCTGGGCCAGGAGACCCCAGAGCCCTGGCTCTCTTATGGGGCTGTGCTTGGTGGGCTCCCTTGGGTACGGGATTGGCCAGAGATGACGGGGGCCGTGCTCATGGCCAGCTTGGCTGTACTCCAGCCTCCAGAACTGCCGCCTGACCAAAGCCGGCTGTGGCGTCCTGCCCGGCGTGCTGCGCTCCGTGCCCACCCTGCGGGAGCTGCACCTCAGCAACAACCCACTGGAGGACACGGGCCTGCAGCTGCTGTGCGAGGGCCTCCTGGACCCCCAGTGCCACCTGGAGAACCTACAGTGAGTGTGCAACAGACCACCCCCCACCCTGGGCTGTGGGGAGCCGTGAGGAAGGGGCTCTTGGAGACTGCAGCCAGCTGTCCCCCGTGCTGCTGGGACCGCGGGCCGACGCCAAGAGTGGGCCTGGCAACCCACAGCAAGCGCCCATGGGCCGGGCGAGGGAGGTGGCGGCTGGAGCCCGCAAGGGGGGCTGGTGTCTCTCTCCCAGCTCTAGGGCATCCTGGCCTGGGAGGCCCCGCAGCCTGGGGCAGGGGAGGCCGTCCTGGCAGGGCTCCCTGGGCGGGTGTTCTGACCCCCGCCCATCCCCAGGCTGGAGTACTGCGACCTGACCGCCGCCGGCTGTGTGTCCCTGGCCTCCGCGCTCAAGGCCAAGCAGCACTTCAAGGCGCTCACGGTGAGCAACAATGAGATCCGGGAGGCCGGCGTGCGGGTGCTGTGCCAGGGCCTAGTGGACTCTGCCTGCCAGCTGGAGGCGCTCAGGTAAGTGCTGGGCCTGGCAGGCGGGAGGCGGGGTGCGGCGGGTGCTGCGGGGCCGTCTCCCCAGCCCAGCCGGCCCTCCTGTGCTTCAGGCTGGAGAACTGCGGCCTCACGGCGGCTAGCTGTGAGGACCTCCGTGGGCTCGTGGCTGCCAAGCCCTCGCTTCAGGTGCTGGACCTGGGTGACAACAAGCTGGGTGACCAGGGCATCGCCACGCTGTGCTCCAGCCTGCTGCACTCCAGCTGCCGGATCCGGGTCCTGTGGTGAGTGTGCCCTCGGCCTGCGCCCTCGGGCCCGCGGCCTCGGGGGCCCTGCCGTGACCTGTCCCCTGGGCCTGCAGGCTCTGGGACTGTGACATCACCACCACGGGCTGCAGAGACCTCTGCCGCGTCATCAGGGCCAAGCAGAGCCTGAAGGAGATGAGCCTGGCGGGCAACGCGCTGGGGGACGAGGGCGCCCGGCTGCTGTGTGAGAGCCTCCTGGAGCCCGGTTGCCAGCTGCAGTCCCTGTGGTGAGTGCGGCCGGGTGGTGGCCGGGGCCCCGGGGGACCCCGTGGATGCGGGAACGCTGAGGCCCCCGGGGGGCCCAGGGCTGGGGTGGCTTGTGTGTCTGGGGAACAGGCCTCCGCGAGGGGGTGGGGGGCCGCGGGGCGCTGGCTGTCTTTGGAGGGTGGGGGTCGGGGGCTTCCTGCTCAGGCCCCCAGGGGCCTCCGAGAGCGCTGCGAGCTGTGGGCCCGCTGCTGCTGTCTCCCAGGGTGAAGTCCTGCAGCTTCACGGCCGCCTGCTGCGTCTCCTTTGGCGCGATGCTGGCCCAGAACAAGCACCTCACGGAGCTGCAGCTGAGCAACAACCAGCTGGGTGACGCGGGCGTCCGGGAGCTGTGCCAGGGTCTGCGCCAGCCGGGTGCCGCGCTGCGTGAGCTGTGGTGAGTGCGCCGGGGGCGCGAGGGCGTGTCGTGCGCGGGGCGAGCCCCGCTCCCCACAGCGCACCGCGGGCCGGTCTCCACGGTCGTCGGCTTTCTGCGTCCTGGTCTCTGCTGCTCACTGCGGCTTCTGGGTGGGGGGTTGGTTTGCGCAGGGGCGGAGGTGGGCAAGCGGCGCTGGGCCCGCCCTTCCTCGTCCTCACCCTGGAGGCCGGGAGCCTCTGTGCACCCTGTGCCTGCACCCGCTCTTCTGCCTCTGGTGCCCTCCCACCTGCCCAGGGAGGTTCGGGCCCTAAGTCCAGGCCGTGTGAGCCTGAGGTCCGTGTGACCACTATGCCCGTGGAGGGGAGCTGTGTGCTCCTGTTGCCTTTGGCGGGCGCTCTGCATGGGGCCAACAGCACAACTCCAAGAGCTCCCAAGCTTGAGGTCTGGGGGACGGGCCTGCCCCTGTTGCTCCACACATGGTGTGCTGCAGACCCCCGCCCCGCATCACCCTGTGATCGGCAGCAGGCCCTTTTGTCCTGACCCGTGCCCTGTCTCCGCCCAGCCTGGGGGACTGCGATGTGGCCAACGATGGCTGTGCCAGCCTGGCCTCGCTCCTGCTGGTCAACCGCAGCCTGCGGGAGCTGGACCTCAGCAACAACTGTATGAACGACCAGGGCATCCGGTGGCTGATGGAGAGCGCGGAGCAGCCCAGCTGTGTGCTGGAGCAGCTGGTGTGAGTGCTGCGTGAGGGGAGGGGGAGGCTGGAGGGGCATAGTCCCCACAAGATCCTGACCGCGAGTTCTGGCGTCCACAGCCTCTACGACATCTACTGGTCAGAGGAGACGGATGACGGCCTGCAGGCCCTGGGGGAGCGCAAGCCCGGCCTGAGGATCATCTCCTGAGCCCGGCCGCGCCCTCCTGCGGGCCTCTTAGCTTTGAACCAAGAGATGTTCTCAGCTCACTAATGCAAGAAAGTTCTAGACACTTTATTAAAGCACTTTTTTTTTGGCAGGAGGAGTGTTGTCTTTTCTGTGGGGCCCCCACCAGGCCTGGGTCATAAGTGTGTTTCCACCAGGGTCGTCCTGCAGTGCGCACGCACACGTGCCTGGGACGGCCGCCTCCCTCCCGCCAGCCTGGCCGTCCCTCTGCACGGCCTCTGACCGGAACAGACAAATGCAGTAGGGGCCCCGCCCGCCCGCTCCCCCGTCACCCTGGGCAAGCCCTTTGTTGGGAGCAGGACCGGGCTGAGGCTGGGGGCCGGTGAGGATGACACAGGGTCACAGTCCTCCGGCACCGGTGCGCTTGTTCTGTTTGCTCGTGAAGACGACCCACACACCCTCCTCCCACCTCAGACACAGGGCCTTTGACTCTGACTCTGTTCCTCGAGGGACCAGTCCCATGACCTCTGGCCCTGTACCCACCTGTTTGTGGGGTCATTTGAAACCTCCCTGGGTGATCGCTTAGGGCTGCCTACTCAGACCTACTCCTGCTCAGCCATCTCGGGGTGTCCACACTCCCGGTGAGATGCAGCTGGGGCCTTGGGGTGGCCGGCATGGGCTCCCAGGGCCTCAGAGTGGCCAGGGCCCAGGGAGCAGAGAAAGGCACAGCTATGCCTGTGATCTGGGGGGGAGGAAACCGCTGCCCAGGGCCAGCCCAGCCACACTCGTCACCCCAGAGCAGCCTCAGCAACACGCAGCCCACGTGCGCACTCCCCTCCACGCCGTGTCCACACACGCGCACATCTGGGACAGGCCACCTTCTGCCCCACCCCGCAGGGCCCCACAGTGCGCACGGGAAAAAGGCGGGTATGACCCCATGGGCCGAGGGGCTCCCGGTGGCCGGTGGCCGGGAGCGGCATCAGTCTGGGGCCGGCACCCCCTCGCTCTCCGGCTCCGTGGGCCCCGGGGGGTCTTCGGGCCCAGGCCGGTGTCCATCCACATGGCTCATGGCCGTGCTCTGGTCGCCCCTGCTCTGCTGCTGCTGCCGCCGCGTCTCCTTATATCTCAGGGTGATGTCCCTGGGGACAGCGGGAGCCGGGTCACTGCCAGCCGGCCCACGGAGGTCCTGAGAAGCTGCCCCTCACAGGGACGCTCCCAGAGTCGCAGGGAGGGACCCCATGACCCAGATGCCGGCTGACCCGGCCCGGGAGACGGCCCATGCCCTTACCGCAAGAAGAAGCGCCAGACGGTCCAGGTGAGCACGAGCACGGAGCCGAGCGTCCAGCACTGCGAGATGTAGAAGGGCAGGGACAGCGTGAGCGTGTGCGGGTCGTACTTGACGACGATGAGCAGCTCCGTGGCCGTGATGGCCGCCACCAGCCAGGCCTGCTGGCCCAGCTTCTTATGGGGCTTCCTGCGGGAGGAGGGCGCTCGGCTGAGGGCGCTGCGGCTGGGCCCCAGGGGCAGCAACGCTGAGGGGGCCTAGGCCTGCCCCACCCGCCCCGGGCCCTCACGGGTCATCCATGAAGTCGTAGATCTCCCGCATGGCCACGCCGCCCACGTTCACGAAGAACACCAGCCGCAGGAGGACGAGGGAGTGCTCCGGGGGCAGCCACAGCACGAACTTCAGGTAGAACGTGTTCAGTTCTGCCAACAGAAACTGGGAGACACGGGAGGGTGGGTGGCAAGCCGGGCTGCCCAGCAGGCGCGCGCGTGACACAGGCCGGCCTTACCACCAGGATGATGCCGCACACGGCGAGCCAGCGGCGCAGGCTGGAGGCCGGCTTCCACTCGAAGCGGACCCAGCTGTAGGGCGTGAACTGGAAGGCGATCCTCTTCATCTTGCCCCTGGGAGCACAGGGCCCCGTCACCCCACGGAGCCTCTGTCCTCCAGGCAGCCACGCCGGGTGCTTGGAGCCCAGTGGCTGCTCACTCCCTGTGCCCCCACCTGCTGCCCCGGGCCCCATGACGGATGGGTGGGGAGACTCCCGCTCCCCAGCGCCCCGCCGGGTCTGTTCCCAGACTGCTGCTTCCAATCCCAAAGTAAACAGGACCAAGTGCCCGTGAGGATCAGGTAAGGAGGGCAGCCCCGGGGGCACGGAGGGCAGCCCCGGGGGCACGAAGGGCAGCTGACTACAGGCCCACTTCCTGGCCACCACCAGGGCCCTGGGGGGCGGATCTGGTGAGCAGAGGAAGCGGGCAGAATCCTGGTCCACTGCCCCCCCCAAAGGCACTGGCGTCACCTCCAGACCCCACGGGGACGCCCTGGCCCCCAGGGAGCAGGGCGGCTGCTCAGGAGACGCACTTGTAGGTCGGAATGTTCCAGAGGCCCTGCCACTTGTACGTCTTCAGAGACAGCCACTCGAGTGTCTTCATGCCACAGTAGATGCCCAGCCCGTTGCAGACCAGCACGTCCATGATCCACTGGGGGCAGGAGCCAGGAGGGCAGGTGAGTGCCCCGCCCACCCGAGGGCCTCTGCACCCCAGCACCCCCGCCCCAGGCATCTGCCGGCACCTACGTGGTCCCACCAGCACTCGCTGAAGTTGGGCAGCTGGTGCTCCAGGCTGTACTCGAGGAACTCGAACATGACGCTCACGATGGTGCACATCCACCAGTCACGGATCATCAGGGTCTGCGGGCCGCGGCAGAGCGTCAGACCAGGCCCGCCAGGGGGACACCCCCAGCGCCCTCCCGGGTGGGGCAAGACACTGCTGGCGCCAAGAACCAGCACAGGTCGGGGCCACAGCCCCCAGGCCCTCACCCATCGTGCTCCGGCACCCGGAACGTCAGTGCACATCTGGGAAATGGGCTTGGAGCACAAGGCAGGCCCAGGGTGTCCCCCTGTCGAGGTCATCTTACCTTCAGGTACCAGCCAAGGAAGTGTGCCGGCACAAAGCCATCCAGCTTGTCCTGTAGCGGCAGGACACCTAACTCAGGTGCAGCCCACAGCCCCCCGTCTCTCGCTCCCACCCACATCCATGGCTGCTGGGACAGTCTCAGCCTTTCCAAGCAGCACCGGCTGGACCCGAGGGACAAAGCCGCGGTCCTGTGCACGCGCAGTCAGCATGCCCTGACCACCGAGGAGAGCCGGTGCCCTCGTCAGTGGGGTCCCCAGGGGAGTACGCGGCTGGGCCGAGACTACGTGTTCAGGCTGGATGGCAGGGACCCGGGCCCTGGTGAGCTGGGTCGGTGCCCCACATGTGGGCTGCACGACCCCCGGGGTCCCCTAACCCTCCTCCAAATGGGCTGAGCTAAAGGGAGCCCCGGGTCTAGCAGGAGGGAGGCCAGCGCCTGCCAGGGCCCATGCCACCCCCACCCCGTCTGATCTGCAGAATGACTGGGGTTCTAGAAACATCCAGGACAGGTCAGCAATACCCGGGCACCTGCTGAGCACTGGGCTCCTGGGCCCACCCATACCCAGACGTTGTGGAAGGGGTCGCTCTCGTTGTGTGGGTCATAGATGAGGCAGTTTCCCCCGTAGTCCCTCTCGGGCAGTGGGACCCCCAGCCTAGGGTCCACGTACTTCAGAAACTGGCGGCCGTCCTGGACAGTCTGCAAGGCCAGCACCCTGGTTAGTGGGGCCAGATGCTGCTGGTGGCCACGGGAGCACCCGGCTAACTCCTGAAACCTCGAGCCACGTCTATGGCTCGGGGCGTGTGGAAAACACCTCCACTGAGGGGAGGCAAACACCGCCTCTGCCGCCGGCCCCCCAACACAGGGTTGGGCAGACTGGGGGGGTCCACGTGCGAGGTGATGCCCCACTCCCCTCACGTGGGGACACAGCTGGGTCACCGGTCTTGCCGCCTGCCCTCTCCATGTCCTTCGCGGAAGCAGCGCACCAGGACAGCTTTCCCAGACACGGGCGCCTACACCAGCAAATCGCTCCTTCTGGCCTTAGCGCTAAGGAGACTCCGGGGTTGCAGGGTCAGAGGCTGCCCCACCTGCAGGCCCAGACCTTCCCCTTCCTCAGGCCCTCTCTGGCCACCAGCTGGGGCCTTCAGTCCACAGGGAGGGATCCCAGGATGCCCACGGTCAGGACCCTGTCCCCCCGCTCCTGCCCCAAGTACCAGCCAAGGTAGGGAAGAAGCAGGGAGGAGGGTGAGGGAGGGGGCAGAGGACACAGACCTGCATGATGTCATGTGACCACGGCCCCCCTGTGCTACCCAGGTGCACTGCCTTGTCCTGCAATGGACCCTATTCCCCGCTTGGGGTCTCTGGAAATGACTCTCAGACCATGACATCACCGACAACTGAAATCACCCCCATGCGGTTTCAGAAACCATGGGATGTGAGGCTGGACACTGCTGTGTCCCTGTCAGGACAGCAGGTCAGCAGGAGCCCAGGCTGGTGGGCACTGAACCCGGACAAGAGCTGAGAAGCCTCTGGAAGCTTAGCCCGCCACGGAGTCACTCCTGAAATGCAAACAGAAGCAGGAGTCTCCACACACCGCCAACAGCGGCCACAATACAGATCCTGACGAGTGCAGGGGGACTGGGGGCTGTCCAGCTGCTCCTTAGAGGTGACGTGTGCACGACTCACAGGCCCACAGTTGCGCCCACGAGAGCCCATCGCCGACAGCCCCGCTCTAGCAATGGCGCCGATGTCGCTGGCCACCCCACTCAGCAGAAGGATGCACGGGACCCAGACGCCCTTCAGGGGCCCCAGGGTTGGAGGGGGAGCAGGTGGGTCAGTGGCTCTGGGGGATGCAGGGACGGGTGACCCAAGCTATGGCAGGGTCCTCTGTGTGGGGTGACAAACACGCTCAGTAACGGTACTGAAGAGGAAAATGGGACCACACCCGGAGCAGGGACGAGTGCCACTGACAGCTCCAAGGCTGTGCAGAACGGACTTCGCAGACCGAGGTCACCTTCGCAGCAGACACCGGACCGAACCAGCGAGGAACAGGAACGACAGACACCAGCGCTCAGTCCTGACCCAAGGTTCACAGGGCGAGGGGTTTCCAACCTCCCTCTGAGCACACGGTACGCCCAGACGGCAACCCCCGCAGCCTCTGCCCACTCCTCCGGGGGTCCAGCCTCGCTTCCAGCGGAAGCTGTGGACGGGCGGACGGGCCACCCCATCCGACAGAGAAGCCACTTACCTGGAAGAGTATGAAGATGAGGAACAGCTCGTAGACCACGCTGACGCACAGCCAGAACCTCCAGTACGCTGCGGAGACGCGGGGCGCGGGCGTCAGGTGGGGCCCCGCAGCCCAGAGAGCACCGCCCACGCCCGGCCTCCTCCCCACCCTCCCGGTGGCCCCGGTCCTGGGGCGGCGCTACCCGCCGCCCCCCCCCCCGCCCCCGCCGGCCATGCTTCCAGTCAGCTGCGGACCTGTCGCTCAGCGAGTACGCAGTAACCTTCTGCTGATGCCATTTATCGAGTTAAGAAAACCCACGGCCCAGGACGCAGTTTCTCCCACATGGGCAGGACGCGGTTCCCCTCCGGTGTCTGCGGGAGGGGTCCCACCGACAGGGTTTCTGACGTGAGCCCCACTGGATCCCCGGGGTAGACCGCACCTGGCTGTGGCAGCCTGTCTGGGGAAACGCCTGCATTTGGGAGGGACGACCCGTCCCCGGGGTGGTGTCCTTCCCAGCTGCTGGAGGGCCAGAGCGCACATGTGCTCACCCCAGAAAGAAACGAAATGTGACGCGACAGAGGCGGCCCCTCGCTCGGCTGCCCGCAAACACACGCGTGTGTCCCGCTGGCTTGTCAGGGGCCGGCCAAACTGCCACAGGACGGAGAAGAAAGAAACTGTCCCTCTGGAGCCTCTGCACAGTCCGGACCCCGTCTCTCCAGCGCCGGGTTCCCGGAGCTCATGCGGAAAGCGGTTTCTCACCAGCAAGCGGTGAAAAGGAGAGGGAGTTATTCCAGGACCAACGTGCTAACTTTCACCTTCCGGAAATCTTGATAACCCTGTCTGATAAAGGCCTAAGATAGCTACTTTCCCTTTGCTTACTACCACTGTTTAAAAAAAAACCTAACAGTTTGCTTTGAAAAACTCACTCCCCTTGAATAAAAAGGCTGGTGCTTGCCAAGGTGGGAGAGGCCTGGCCTGGCCTCCACGCTGCGGGCGCAGGGCAGCCCAGTGCGGAGGTGCTCACCGGGCTCTGGCCTGCCCAGCACTCGGGGCCTGTGCCTCATCTGCTTGCTGGGGAAACAGCCCCAAGACCCAGGAGCGCCCAGGCTGGTGTGGGCGGAAGCAGAAAGGCGGTCAGTTCTTGGGACGGTTTGCTGAAGGAATTCTGGGGCACGGGATCAAGAGTGGACGTGACACGCTGCCCTTGTGGCCCTCGGGTCTGGGAGAAGCTTGGCAAGTTGTCCCTGGTCAAGGGCTACAGCAGGACCTAAAAGGGCCTTTGGAAAGTGACTCAGGCCACCTTCCCCAGAGCGCTCACCCCGCCACTGTGCGAAGGCACCTTCCTGTGGACCCTCCGACACTGAATTTGTCTTCTCCCCGCCCACTGCCCCCAGTCAGGGGCCAGCCATTGCCCACTGCCAGTCACCCTCCTCTTGTAGAGCCCCCCAGGGCCCAGATCCGCCCACCCACCCTCAAACACCTGGCCAGCGCCGCGCCTCCCACATGCCACGTGAGCTCTCCCTGGAGCTCCCGGGAGACTCTGAGGCTGCTTTCCCTGGAGCCCCTGACCCACCGGCCGGCTTACTCTCTTCCTTAGCAGCGCGTCCAGCCAGCCCGCTCCTCCCCCCACCTCCAGGGGGTCCTGCAGCGCCCACACCCGCACACCCTGCCGGGCAGGTTCCCCACAGCTGCACACACGGCCGACAGGACTCCCGCCACCTGGTCCTCCTGCCAACACTAGGGGAGAAGGGGCTCCCGAACGGGCTCCCACAGTCGTCAAACCACAACTGGCAGGGAACCCGTTTACATGGCGCCTCCAAACTGAAAGGAAGGTACAGCCGAGCTCAGAACACAAGCTGGGAGACGGCTTTCCGAGGGCAGGGGCTGGGGTGGCCCTCACGCAGCCCACGGAGACCACAGGGGAGCCTTGCAGACGAGGGTGGCTGGCACCCCGACTGGACAGAGCACACGGTGCCCCAGGAGTCTAGAGGCCAAGCAGCTGTCCGGCCCCCAGCACGGCCCAGCGCCCCCCGAGGGACCTGCCACGCCTGGAAGCACTGACTCTACCCGGTCCAGTAGGCACTCATCGCACCTGGACTTTTGCTCTGACTTTTGGTGGCTTTTAAACCGTTCTCTCGCTTCTCCACTGTCCTGGCTGGGAGTTCAGAGCCTTCAGAGGCTGGTGACGGAGCCAGTGGGAAGCTGGGGCGCTGGGTGACCCATAGGCAGGCACCAGGTGGTGTCACCCAGCAGACACTGAGGAGGCAGAGCAGCAGGCCACACGGGCCCGGCTCATGGCCGCAGCGCCCACCGACCACTTCTGTGGGGTTGGTTCCACCACGGGCTTCCAGGGCGCACCCCCCGCCAGCCTGCGGCTTCCACTCCCAGGGCCTGGCGTTAAACGACCGATCAGACCCACCCACAGACGCAGAAATTCACTACAGCTTTCTAAACGCTGGAGCACACGATGCTGCGGGCCTGGGCTCACACCGTCACACGCCAGATGCTGGCCGGACAAGCAGCCATGAACGTCCCGCTGCCAAACACAGAATCACCAAGGAGACGTCTGTGCTAAGCTGAAGTGGGGAAGAAATGATAGAAAACCACACCAAAGAGGGTCCCACTTTCTAAGCTGTGTATGTGTGTCTACTCCCAAAAACACATTAAAACATAACAGTGGCTACTTTCTGTGGCTGATTTTTGTTTCTATTTAAAAATAGTTTTTTTATTTTTCAAATATTCCACAATGAATACCAACCCGTATTAACACAGAAACATGTTACTCAGCCTTAAGACTTCAGGAAGACTCACCACGCCCTGCCCTTAGAGGCAGCCCCTCAATGAGGCTGGGCCCCTAGAGAGCTTGGGCTGGGGGCAGGACCAGAGACAGGACAGTGGGGGCAGGACAGGGGGACAGGATTCAGGACAGGACCAGGGGCAGGATGGGGGAAAGGAGAACTGGGGACTGGACAGAGGGGCACAGGACCAGGGATAGGACAGTGGGGGCAGAACTGGGTCAGGGCAGGACCAGGGATGAGACAGTGGGAACAGGACAGGGGGAAAGGAAAGGGGAGCAGGAACAGGATGGGGGGCAGGGCAGGGGAGAGGATAAGGGGGTAGGATTCAGGGCAAGACCAGGGGCAGAGTGGGGGGGGGGTGGCACGACAGGAGGGCAGAATGGGGGATGGGATATGGGGTCAGGGCTGGGGGCAGGACCAGGGGCAGCAGAAGCAACGGTCTGCAGCTCCAAGGCTCAAGGGCTTGTTAGAACACCTCCCTTAACTTGGGGGTCGGGGTGAGAGACAGGAGGACTCGTTGCCGATCCCATGCGGCAAGCCCCTCAATGGCAGGCCCACCAGCTCAGGGCCACACCGACCCCACAGCCAGTCCTGGGGCACCTTACTGTGCAGAAGAAGCCACCTGAGACAGAGTGGGGGGAAGGGGAAGAGGAGGACAAGGACAACGGCAGGACAGGGTGAGGAGCAGAGGGTGGGAGAAGGGGCCGAGGCGAGAGGAACCCAGCCCTCACCCTCCTGAGGGGACGGCAGCGTGCCCTGGCTGGCCGGGAGGGGCTGGGAAGGAGGACAGGACACTCGCACCTGGCAGCACGGACGCGGAGAGACTGCTCGGGACAGAAGTGTTATGTGGGCACACGCGGACAAAGAAAGGACAAGTTACCTGGATGAGGTCTGGAAAACGGCCCGTCTTTAGCTTGTGTGACTCCAAAACATAAGAAAACCAAAATACTGGCCACAATACCTCTGCAAATAAAGAACAGACAGCCCCTCAGTGCGCGTCTCCCAGGCGGGAGTGACCCCGGGGGGCGGGCCAGGAGGAGGCCTTGGAGTACGGGGTCCAGGGGGCGGGCAGCAGGGAGGGCGACACTGTGGCCTCCAGAGCCCACATGCCACCCAGAGGCAGCAACGCCCTCCGGAGAAGGGCCTCGATGGGGGGCCGGGCCTGACACAGGCTGCGACGTGGCACCCCACCACGCTGCAGGCTTCCCACCTAGAGAACCCCTACGACGTGTGCGCAGCCAGCCAGGCCCCAGAGGAAGGCCGCGTCCTGCCCCACAGAGCCGGGACCCAGCTCACTGCCGTTGCAGCCTATGGGAGCACCACGTGCACGTACGGTCACCAGGGTCGCAGACACACACGCAGCAGTGCTCACGGCCGCCCCGCCCAGCAGAGGGGCTGGGGCTGCTGTAGGGCTGGCTCTCCCCACAGCCGGCCCTCTCTCGGCAAAGACACACACGCCTGCTGCCTCCAGGTGGGCTGTTGGGCTCCGACGCAAGCACATCATGAGACCCCACAGGAGGCCAAAGGCGTCAGCCTGAAACACCTCGTCTCCCTCTGCCCTCGAAGGGCACTCAGACAGAGCCTAGGGCAGGCACAGGCGAAGCCGGGCCCCACAGGAAACCCCGGCAGTCCTGTGCACGCCTGCCTGTCCCCACACCAGGGCCAAGGGCGGGGTGGAGGACCAGGATGAGGTCTGATCATGCCGGCCATGTGCCGCTGTGGCTGTGCTGCTTCCGCCCAGGGGACCCTGAGTCTCCGGACCAGTCTCCCGGTCAGTCCCGGCTCCCACGGCTGCTGGCCTTTGGACTGTAGGAGGCGCAGAGGGACAGAAGGACACCAGCCACTCCGTGTCCCCATCACAGGAACCCATACAGAGGGCCCGTAGGCATGCAACTGCCCAAAGACGCACACTGGTCCGTCTGGGGGTTGGGGGAGGTGAGGTCCACACGGGCTGCGGGAGGAGCACAAAGACCCCCACTCAGCCGCTCTCCCAGGGCGACCCCCTCGAGCCCCCGGAGAGGCCCCTTCCAGCACGATCCAGAGATGGCTTTGCAGCCATGGGTGACCCGCAGAGGGCTCACAGTGAGGACAGACTGAGAGAGCCGGAATGTTCGGGCACCTGTGCCCCAGCGGTGCCGGGCGGCACCTTCCATCAGTACAGACGCCTGTCCCAGTTAACCAGTCCGTGCCGGTGCGTTAACTGCAGTCTGTGGGTTTTCAGATTTCCTGTTTGTCTGAAGCCCCCTTCCTGGGGCACGCAGGAGGCTCAGTGGTTGAGCAGCTGCCTTAGGGCTGGGTCATGATCCCAGGGTCCTGGGATCGAGTCCCACATCGGGCTCCTTGCTTGGGGGGGAGCCTGCTTCTCTCTCTGCCTGCTGCTCCCCCTGTTTGTGCTCTATCTGACAAATAAATAAAACAAACTCATAAAAATAAATAAAGCCCCTTTTCTGCCCCAGGATCCTACCCAGGACGCCCATGACATTCCGTCATCCTGTCTCTTCAGCCCTTCTGGGTGGTGACAGCGCCTCAGACTTTCGTTTTGGAAGACCTGGACAGTTTTGAAGAGGACTGGTCAGGTTTCTGTCGGGTGTCCCCATCAGAGCTGTCCGCTGCTCCCTGTGACTCGATTAGGATTACAGGTTTTGGGAGTAAGATCATCTCATACTAGCATGCTCTGACATCCCCTGGCTGGGGTGCGCTGTCAGCTGCCCTCCCTGCTCTGCTCTTGGGAGGGTCCCTCGGCACAACCTGCACACAAGGGCTGCGGGGCTGAGCCCCCACTCCTTGGCGAGGAGCTCCTAATCTAGCTGGAGGTCATCTGCGGGGTGACTTGTCTCTTCTCCCTCACTTGACCATTTGTATCAGCGCGGACCTGGGGGTGTGTATTTCATACCTTGAATTATGCTGTGATGCGACTTTATAAACTTTGTTGCTCAAATTGTTCCCACTTTGGCCACTGTGAGGACTTTCAGTTTTCTCCTGTATCAGAGCTTTGACATAACCCCATCTTTATGGGATTCTGTTTTTTCTGAGCTCTTCTTGGCTGGCGCTAGACGACCCTCCAGACCTGGCTTGGCCTCCCCTTCCCTAGGCCTGGAATCAACCTCTTGTCCGGGAGCCCTGGTTCCCTCGCTGGAGGACGGTCTGGGGAACCGAGTTCCGGGGGCCGGTGTGCTTGTCGCCACTGGGGCGTCGTAGCTTCTGGGCCCCTTGGCGGACGGACAGAGCCGCGTGTGTCGACCGTGCACGTACTCGGATTGAACCGTGTCCCTGTGTGACCCTCGGGGTCCACCTTAGGCCGGTGCCTCCAGCTCCCAGCCGTCATCTCCTGGACCGTTCTCCCTCCGACTCACTGTCGCCCCTACTCCACAGGGACACCCCAAGTCCCCAGCCTGCGCCGGCCACTAACTCGGTCCCTCACCCCAGAGGGTGCGTGCAGCAGCGGCACAGCTGGTCAGACCCCTGCGGGAAGCGCCTACGTCCCGGAGAGCCCAGGGCTCGTGTGCATGTGCTTTGCCTGGAGCCATGCAGACTCCAGCCCCGTCGCTGGGGTGGCCTCACGTGGGTGTGATGCCACAGAGCCTTGCACCGTCGGCTGTGCCCTGGGGTCCCCGACGTCCTGGCTTCCTTCCTTTTCTCTAATTTGCATCCATTAGGTTTGCTCATCGTGTTGCCCAATGCAGAGGGTCCCACGGCTACCATTACAGCACCGCACAGAGCACCTGAAACACCCCTTCAACTCCATGCTCCGTCCACGGACCCCTACTGCCCTAGACACCACATGGCAGCACCTTTGCCAGAAGTCACCACGGAACATCACACAGTACGTGGCCTTTCCACACGGCTTCTTTCACTTTGTAAGACGCATCTGAGTTTCACCCTCCGTCTCCGTAGTGTTAAAAAGGAGACAGCAGGCCCAAAACAAAGTCACTTGGGCTGAGCCCCAGTCGGCAAACCAGAGACCTAGCACCCGCCTGAAGTGTGTCTTTACCCCAGGAACATGACCTCCAAGCAGTCAGCATGGAGTCAGCCAGCTGGCGCTAGGCCAACGGTCAGCCCCGCAGACCCCTTCCGCCCCCTCCTCTGCTCATTTCCTGCAGTGCCATTCTGTCTTTACAAACCTTTCCTCTTCTGCGGCTTGGCGGAGCTCCTTGTCGTGCTGGACGGGATGCCATCCACCACGAGCCGCTCAGTAAAGCCAACTGGACCTTTACGTTTACTCGGTTGAATTTTGTTATTTAACAATGGCCTCACAGCTCATTTCTTTTTGCTGCTTAGTAATATTTCATGGTCTGGACGTCCCTGTTTTTGTTTATCCGTTCACCTACTCAAAGGCATGCTGGATGCGTCCAAGTTTGGGCGCTTAGGAATGAGTCTCCTGTCACACCGATGTGCAGGCGTTGTTGTGGACGCGAGTTTTCATTTCATTTGGGTAAGTACCTGGGATTCCAATGACTGGACCTCGTGGTAAGAATAAATTTAGTTCTACAAGGGACTGTCAAACTTCTGGTGTCGTACCTAAAAAGTCACCACCAAACCCCAGGTCGGTCACCAGATTTTCTACTGTTTTCTTCTGAAAAGTTTTATAGTTTCTTATTTTACATTTAGGTCGATAATCTTTTCAATGATGGTGAAAAGTGTAAATTCTGCATGTAGCTTCCTTTTGTGCATACGAACAGCCGTCCCAGCTCCGTTGGCTGGAAAGACTTTCTCCTCTGCCCCCCACGAGGTGACCATACTTGCATGGGTCTGGACCCCCGACGGCTCTGCCACCACCACGCTGGCCGGGCAGGGTCATCTGGCCAGCTCTGCTCCTCTTCAGCGTACGAGTATGTTGTATTTCCTGCGCACCATAAATACGCAAATACATTCCCGTTCTACATGTGATAGCTTACTTGCGCATCGGTACATATATGCTCACATGTGTACGTAAACATCCCCAATGTCACCCGTGGTTAAGTCAATCAAGGAACCGTGGCCCATCCACACAGCGGACACTCCCCAGCAGCGAACCAGACCGACCACTGACAGGCACCGAGCACGGGCATCACGAGGCCACCGGGCCACACGGAAGAAACCAGCCACGCTGCGCAGGCAGGGCGACTCGTGTGCACGAACCTACGGGGCAGACGGCGGGTCTGGAGGGCCGGATCTGCACAGACGCATGCACCTGTGGAAACCCACTGAGCTGCACGCTCGAGACACGTGTTGTGTCGGTACGGGGTCGATCGAGCTGACTTTGGAAGAAAAAACCTACTGCCCCAAAATAACAGAGTTTGTTAGATCCATAAAAAGAACAGTGACCCACAAGCTGAAATGGAGAACTTAAGGAAAACAAGCCGATTTTCTACACTTTAAATAATGTAGACGTAGACTTTTTTTTTTTTAAACGATAAACGTAATTTTCGGAAGCACTTTCTTTACGTGAAACCTAAGTCTGGAGGCTTTAAAAGCTCTGACGTGATAGGAAGGGGCCAGCCCGGGGGCTGCCGGGGGGAACCACCCACACACCCATGAAAACTGCCCTGGAAGCAGCGGAGCCACAGATGTGCGAAGAAGGGGCAGGAGATCACCAGGGCAATGGAGGCTTCCAGGGACCAGCCAGGTAGGTTCCAGGCTGCCTGCAGAAGTATGGGGCTGGGAGGGTGGTTCTTCTCTGTCACTAGACAAGGCCAAGAGGGACAGGGACTGTGCGCTATGCAGATTTCCAGTGCCCCGAGCAGACAAGTGTCCACTTCCCAACCCCCTCGAGGTGTCCCCTTCAGTGAAATGGCACAGGGGCTGTCAGGGTGGGGACCCCCACCCCCGCCATGGGCAGCAGCAGCTCAGGACAGGGAGCAGGTGTGAGGGGCAGAGGTGGGACGTGCCCACATGGGTCCATGGCTGCTGCCCAGACACAGCCCACACGGCCCCTTAACCCCGGGGTCCAGGCTGGCGGGGCTTCCTGGCAGGCATCTGGTGAGGAAGCACCGACGCCGCACCCTTGGAGGGCCTTCCCAGAATGCCCCGTGTGGGCCCACTGTTGCCAGGGGTGCACTCCAACCTGTGGCAACGCCCGTCTGGAGCTGCTCATCGCTGGCCTAACGTCACAGCACAGGGGACTCCTCAGATGGGACCATATCTTGCTTGCTGGTCCCCCCTGCCCCCGTGTGCCCTGCAGATACCAGTGCTGGCAACCAATTCAGAGAGGGCCACAGCCTACTGGAAACACCCACTAAGCCAACGTGGCCTTAGTGTCCCCTGCACCCCTGGGCTCGGGGCCCCCTGGGCAGGAACCCCCACAGTGAGAGCAGCCTCAGGCCACAAGGGGGCCAAGCTCCCTCTCCTACTTCTGGACTCCCTTGCCCACGCCCGCAGCACCGACTGGCGCCCCCCAGTTGGCGGGGCACCAAATGACGGGCAGTGCCTGTGCAGGCGCATTAGACCTGGAGGCTGACGCTCAGCGCTCGGGAGAAAGAGGAAGACCTCGCTCGGCTGCCCGGCCGATGGCGTGGGGGACGCGGGAGGACCTCCTGCGGTCCGGACCGTGCAACTGGCAGCCAGGGCACCTTGCGCTGACGACAAGGGAAGACAGACGAGCACAGAGGAGCAGAGCCCCCACCGTGTCGGGCTGCGGCCCAGGGGACTGGATGAGGGCTCTGAAGCACGTGCGCACGGGCCACCAGGCACACTGCTGACAGGGACACCTTGTGTCCTAGCAGGCGAGACACCCAGGGAGCTCGGGCCAGGATTCACGCCACACTCTCAGGCGGACGAGAGCATCCGCACTGCACACGCCCCCACCACCTGACCAGCGATCTCCCAGCACCGCGCTCTGCCTCTGTTCCTCCCTGCTGCCCCCGTCCCACCAGAGCAAGCGGCTCAGAGGAGTGCTGGGGGCTTCATGGCCTGAGGAGTCCGTCCAGTACAGAAACCCCACAGCAGTCAGCTCGAATGCCAGCTCATGTCCCTCACACACTTCTGAAAGGTGCCACAGAGCCCAGGACATTCTGGCAAAGAACACAGTCCAGCAGCTCGTCTGTGTCTGGGGATAACAGTGAAAGGGCAGCCTGCCCACTTCCTGACCTCGGGATGGCATCGTCCAAAACACCGTCTGCATCAACAAATCTCAAGAATGGGACTGAAGGGAGACAGCCTCCCTGGGCCGCCACCACCATCCGGGTCCCCCCAGACACCCAAACTCACGGGCTCCGCGGCATTGTGATTTATATGAAGAAATACATATTTCTCCATCCTGGTTTCTGGCACACAACCCTAAAACCCTTGGCATTTCTGAAAGGATAGAGGTGTCTCTTGTTATGTTAACGAGGTGGCTTCTCATCTAAGGAGGGGGCTGGCAGCCAGGAGAGCCAACCAAGGGATCAGAGGGCTGGTTCCAGCCCCCCTGTGACCTCCGGGGTTGGCAGCGGGGCTGAAGACTGGGTTCCATCGCCACAGGCCAGTGAGTTAGCCAGTCCGTGGCTAAGTAATGAAGCCTCCATAAAGCCCCAAGGACAAGGTTTTAAAAACTTCGGGATGGGGAACACGTGGAGACCCGGGGAGAGGGGTTTGCCTGGCAGGACCTCGAACGTTTCCCCAGACCTCACCCTGGGCATGTCTGTTGGGCTGTTCCTGACTTGGATCCTTTTGTAACCAGCTGGGGATCTAGTAAGTGAAATGTTTCCCTGAGTTCTGTGAGCTGCTCTGGCGAATGACTAGAACCAAGAAGTCACAGGAACCTCGGATTTATAGCCACTTGGTCAGAAGCCCAGGTGTCAGCCCCGACTTGTGCCTGGCCCGGAAGTGGGGGAAGGAGGACAGTCTTGCAGGACCAAGCTGAACTGCAGGACACGCAGGTGTCCAGAACATCGCTTCGGAGGTGTGTAGGGAAACCGTCCCTCCCGTCAGAACCGGAGAGCTTTCTGGGCTCCTTCCCTCGTGCTGTCCCAGCACACTCCTGTCGTTGCTCGTGGGAATCCCGCACAGGCTGCAGGGCGCATGAAGGATGGCGCCCCCGAAGGTCCTGGACATGTGGAAATGGGGCTAAAAAGCCACACAGCTCAGGAGGCAGCCCGGGAGAGACGCTTCGGGCACACACAGCGGTGGGGGGCTGGGAGCCCAGCCAGCCTCCGCGCCCAACCACTCCAGGGGCCTGCTTACCTCTTGGTGTTGTAGGCCGTGTCCCGAGGTGTCTCCTCCAGCAGAGTCACGTAGCCGAGCGCGCAGGTGAGGATGAAGAGCACAGAGAGGGTGTGGGCCCGCCTGGAACGCAAGCGCACGGAGGGCGCGTCAGAGCACGGGGCGCAGCCCCCACGCCCACGCTCGGAAACCCCAGCGAGTCACTAGCGCCAGCGCCTCGTGGGTCTGTGTTGGCTCCGTCACCCCGCCGTGGAGTGGGAAGAGCCCCACGCTGTCGGGAGCGCAAACGGCCCAGTGGGCGCTCAAGGCCGCGGGGTCGGAGGCGGGAGGTGCGTCTCCGGCGGCTGTCCGTGGCTCAGGGACCGGGTAGCAGGGAAACAGGGCGGTTTTCACGGAGCCAGAGAGACGGGCCTCAGGATTCATGAAATTACCACATCCGAGAGATTCCAGAGGACAGCCCGCGAAACAGAGAGGTGAGAGAAAGGGACACCAGCACCCAAGTGAGGAGGTGAGTGTGCCCAGCAGTACCATTTACTCAGAAGACCTGGCAGGGGGCGCCCGGGGGGCTCAGCTGGTTAAGCCTCTGCCTTCAACTCAGGTCATGATCTCAGGGTCTCGGTCGGAGCCCTGCATCGCCCGGCACCGAGTGGCGTCGAGCTCTCTGCTCAGCAGGGAGCCTGCGTCCCCCCTCTCCCACCCCCTCTGTGCTCTTTCTTGCTCTCACATAAATAAAATCTTAAAAAAGGAAAAAAAAAAAAAAAGACCACGATGATCTGGCAGAGACACAGGCTTGGCCCCTTCCGGCCACCCCCACTCTGGAAGGAGGCGGCGGGGCTGGCAGCTGGGGGTGCGGCTCCCCTGGGAGCAGGGTCCACGAGCAGTCAGGTCCCCGGGCTGCCGGGTGAGTAGCTCGCACCAAGACAATCCTGCACACATCATGGCATGGGGGTGCTTCCAACCCAGGAGGAGTCCGCATCCAGCAGGAACGCCCTTCAGGAACGGGCTGACCACTGTCTGAGCAGGAACACGGAGGCTGGAGGGAGGGAAGGAGGCCGGCTCTGGGAGGCCCGCTCACCCGATCCTCAGACAGAAAGAAGCCAGCCCACCGGGAAGGAACACACGGCAACAAAATGGTAAAGGTCTGGTGAAACAGACTGTCCTCCTCAGCACTTCTTCAGAACGTGTCTACCTGCTGAAAGCAGCCCCCGTAACCCCGTGTGCGGGGCCCGCAGCGGAAGGCGAGGGGCTGAATGGGTCCGCATGACCCGATGCGGCAGGGCCGGGTGGCAGGGACCGTGGAAGCCCAGGAGGACACACTGGAGACCTAATCAAAACCAACATGTCTGTCTGCGGAGGCAGAGACACGACCAGCCACGGGCGGGAGAGGGGCAGGGGAGCAGAAACAGGGACAAGGAATAAAATGGCAGACCTGAACACATCAATACCTAAACACAAATGACCTAAAACCACCACCGAACACGGGAGGCTGTCCCATGCGTGGCACCATGCGGCCGCGGGGACGGGGGGGGGGGTGTCTCAGACCTTACGCACCACGTGACCCTGCTGATGTGGCGCTCTCCCAAGACCAGAGGCTGTGCTGGGGCTGCACTCCGCGCCCGGCCCACAGCAGCAGCCACAGACACCTGCAGAGAAGCCCACAGATCTGCCAAGGAGGTGGCCCTGTGAAGCCAGATTTACTGCAGGAACTTACAAAACAGAGTAAATACAGATCTCTAAACTGTTATGCATTGACCATTTCTGGGACAAAGTCAGGATCCAGGAAGTATGCTGGGAGAGCCACGAGCAGAAGGCCGATCCCACACACCTCTGAGAAGGCGTGACCCAGACATCTGCAGGGAGTAAGAACCCTCTGGGGCCCAGTTCCCAACCGCAGCAGTTCCAAGAAACAACGGGTTTCTCCAACCGGTGCATATTTCTTTCTTTCTTTTTAGGTTTTATTTAGGGGCGCCTGGGTGGCTCAGTGGGTTAAGCCTCTGCCTTCGGCTCAGGTCCTTATCTCAGGGTCCTGGGATCGAGCCCCGCATTGGGTTCTCTGCTGAGCAGGGAGCCTGCTTCCCCCTCTCTCTGCCTGCCTCTCTGCTTGCTTGATTGCTCTCTCTGTCCAATAAATAAATCTTTAAAATAAAGATTGCCGGGCGATCCCCCACCGTCCCTCGGGCACCTGCCACCCTTCCTGGTGCTGGCACCGCATACAAGAGGCACCCCTGTGGGTGTCCCGCCAGGACTGCCTCTCTGGGGCAGAGAAGCTAAAATTAAAATGTGAAAGCCTTTTGTCCCAGTCTTTTTTTTTTTTTTTTTTAATGGAGGCTCCATGTGGAGTTCAACATAGGGCTTGAACTCACAACCCTGAGATTAAGACTTGAGCTGAAATCAAGAGTTAGACACTTAAGTGACTAAGCCACCCAGGTGCCCCTGTCCTGGGTCTTAAAACCAGGTTTCTTTCATATCACTTTGCACAAGCAGTCATCTTCCTAGTTTCTCTGGGCTAAAACACATGCCCTGATGGGGGCAGCTCTGGTCATACATCTTTCCATCCTCCACAAGGATTATCTGAAAAATAAAAACAACTATTTGTCCCTTGGGATCAATGGTCACACTGTCATTCAGGCAGTCACCCGTGGCCCTGCAGAGCACATTAGGAATCAGTAGGACCTCCTCTGTCCCATCCGAGATAGGAGGGAGGCAGACAGTCAAGAAGCCAGGGGAAGAGGACAGGGCACCACAGTCTCAGACTTCAGAACTGCTAAAATCAAGTGCTACTAGAAAGCAAAATCTTTATTATTAAATTATAAAATCCATCTTTAAAAAGCTCCCCTCTTCGGGGCGCCTGGGTGGCTCAGTGGGTTAAAGCCTCTGCCTTTGGCTCAGGTCGTGATCCCAGGGTCCTGGGATCGAGCCCCGCATCGGCCTCTCTGCTCAGCAGGGAGCCTGCTTCCTCCTCTCTCTCTGCCTGCCTCTCTGCCTGCTTGTGATCTGTCAAATAAATAAATAAAATCTTTTAAAAAAAAAAAGCTCCCCTCCTCTGTACAGCAAAGGAAATCATTGACAAAATGGAAAGGCAACCTAGTGAAAGGGAGAAAATAGTTGCAAATCACGTATCTGATAAGGAGCTCATATCAAAAATACCTGAGGAACTCACCAAACTCAACAGCAAAAAACCAATCCAATTAAGAAATGGGCAGAAGACATGAACAGACACTTTTCCAAAGAAGACACCCCGATGGCCCAGAGACAGGAAGAGATGCTCCACCTCACTCAGCGTCAGGAAAAAACGAACTGAAACCCTGAGGAGACGCCGCGTGACGCCCGTCAGAACGGCCGAAACGAGTGAGTCGGGAAGCGCCAGGCGTCGGCGCGGACGCGGGGGGCCCTCGTCCCTGTGCGTGGGGCACAAGCTGGGGCAGCTGCGCGGGAACACAGCGGGGAGGGTCCTCAGAAGTTAAATGAAATTACTGTAAGACCCAGTAATTCCACTACTGGGTATCGGGAGGAAACAAAAGCACCAAGTTGAAAAGATGTCTGTACCCGATGTTACTGCAGCATTATTTACAGCAGCCAAGATACGGCAGCGGCCCAAGCGCCCGTCTGCCGATGAACGGATGAAGCAAACGTGTGTTTCTACGATGGAGTGTCACTCAGCCACAAACAGAAGAAATCTTGACCTGTGCAACACAGGCGGCACCTGAGGACATTGTGTCAGGTGAGGTAAGAAAGAAAACACTGTGTCATCTCTCTTACCTGCGGGATCTAAACACAAACCCCAAACTCACAGAGGTGCCCGGGGGGCTTGGCTGGCTGGGGGTCCAACTCTGGATTTCGGCTCCGGTCACAGTCGTGGGGTGGTGCGACTGAGCCTCGCGGCAGGCTCCATGGCAGGCATGGCACCTGCTCAAGATCCTCTCTCCCTCTGCCCCCCACCCACCAGCCTGCACGCGTGTGCGCGCTCTCAAAACAAAACAGAAAAGCCAAAATCACAGAGACAGGCTGATGGTTACAGGTGGGAAAATAATAAAGTTGCCTTCTTGATAAAAAAAAAAATTTTTGTTGAATCACTTTATAAATATACCGTATTGACCAACAGTGATGTTTAACAGGTACCGTATTTGTAGTTCTCCAAGCACTGGCAACACATTATTACAGCACCTCGATGAAGAAACATTATCAGCCCAGTCCTTCTGTTCTTAAATATTTTTAAAGATTTTATTACAGAGAGAGAGAGAGAGAGAAAACGCGTGTGCACAAGCAGGGAGAGCAGCAGGCAGAGGGAGAAGCAGGCTCCCCACTGAGCAAGGAGCCCAACGTGGGGCTCGATCCCAGGACCCCAGGATCACAACCTGAGCAGAAGGGTTAACCGACCGAGCCCCCCAGGTCCCCCGGCCCAGTTCTTTGCGGGCAGAATCGCAGGTGCAGATTACCTGCTGTCACGGAGACCAGGTAGTGTCTGCGTGGTCAGACCTCTACCCCTGACAAAGCGCTTTCAACAGGCAACTTGCGGCAACAAAGGGAAGTCCCAGGACAGCAGCCAGGGGGGACAGAACTCTGTTAATTCTAATGGTCAGACCATTGCTCAATCCACGGCCTGTACTTTCCTTTGACTTTCAGTGTAAAGCTTACGTTCCCCACTGTGACACTCTTCCGTGGGAGGCGATGGGACACAGCAGGAAAGCGTGGACTTTACTACCAGGCTTGCAGCTCAGCACACGTGCAGTGTTGAGTAACTCTCTTCGTCTTTTAAGTTTAATTCCCCCATCTTCGAAATGAGAATAGAAATACACGCTTGCAAGTTTGGTGCAGAAAATGAAAACGTTACCCTATAAGCCTGGTAAGAACAAAAACAAAGCCCAAAATGTCTCCCTTGCCTTGCACACAGTACCATTTCCACATGTGGGATAGAGGGGCTGCTCTGGACAGCACCCAGCACTCTACAGGCAGACCTCCCCGGCCCTCCCAGATGCCTCCTTTGGTGCAGTGGGTAATAGATAACTCAGGGGAGGTTTGGGTCCTGTGTTCCAGGCAGAGGACAAGAGTGGCCATAAGTCCTGTGACTCTCCAGTCACTCAGCATGGTGAGGGTGTGAGGACAGCTGGCTCCCTGCCACTGTGAGTGGAAAATACCCAGATGTCAGTCCCTAGAGCTGACCACACTCATCATGCCAAGTAGGCAGAGAGGCAGGCCGGCTAAACCCATGAGAGGAACAGGAAGGTGTGGCCAGCACACTGAGAGCACAAGGAAGCCTCAGCTGGGAAAAGCCAAGGCCAGAGGGCTTGCCCCAGGCATGCAAGAGCTATCTGCGGTCATGGCAGCGACCCTCCTGGCCTGCTGACCAACATGACCGAAAAGGCATCAGCTGCAGAGCCAAGCCTCCCAGATGTGCGCAAAGCTGGCAAACCCCTGCCCCACCAGGACTGAGAAAGGCGTCTTTGGAACGTGGGCGTTCACACACCTCCACATGCTCTTGCAGCTACCATACGACCTACTGCAGACAGCAGGGTCCTGGGGTCACTAGGAGTGCTCGCCCAAGGCCCGGTGGCTAAGACGCATGCACTCCCAGAACATCGCAACCATCTCCCCCTCCTGCCTTAGGAGCTGGTTAGGAAGGGTGCTAACCCAGGAGCAACACCCAACTTCCGTCTCCAGGTGGCAAGCCCGGGGGCATCTCTTCAGGACAACAAGTCTCCAGGGGTCTCCTAAACCATCTTCAGAAAATGAGCTAGCCCGTCTTTGTGCTGTTCCTCTAAGTGTGTGTCCTACATGGCGCCCAGAGGCTCCATGCTGGAGACCACCACTGGGAGGAGAAGCAGTGTCCTTCCCACTTAAGACCCCAGCAGTCCTTATGCCCCATCCCTTGGGCCTGGTTTCTGGGAGCCCAGCTTCAAGCTCCAAGGCACAGGCGAGCCCTGAACCCTAATTACATACCCTGTGGCTAACAAGTGGTAACAGAGATACCCAGAGTCCCCCACGGCCCAGTGCAACCACCAGCATGGGGCATATTTTGTGAAAACCCTATAAACAAGGTTTTGAATCATACAGAAGTTCCTTTGAGCAATTCTGCAACACAAAATCATTTCTACAAAAACATACTTTTAGTCTTTATATGAATTTTTTATAACATTCATTATTATTCATTATTAAAATTCTCTAAAACACAAAATGAAAGTTTTTAAACCCTAACACAGCAAGCCAGTGAGAGGGGGTTCAGAAGGTAGCAAGTGGCTAAGCTCTGCAGGTAAGAATGAGTAGACCTCACCAAGCAGGCACCCGGTCTGCTGCCTCGAGGAAATGTGAAGCTCCTTTCCCTACCCAGGTGAGGGGAGGCCTGGGGTGCCCCGGGGACAAGCACAGACCCAGACCGCAGGGCACAGCACACGGCACCCGTCACACCTGTGGTGGGGAGGCATGAGCCTTTCACCGGGAGACCCGCCGGGCAGGCACCTGAAACCGGCCAGCCCTGTCCCCTTCCCTCCTGGAAAGCCTTCGTGGTCCCTACCAGCCCTCCTCGCAGGTAAGCTCAGCTACAGCAGGCGACTGTGTGTCCAACTGACCAAGTCTCTCGTGGACAGGACTTGCGGGGGGGGGGGGTGCCAGTCTGTGCTTCTAAAGCCGTCAGCACACGTCTTTCATGGCACGGCTGAGGCGACGGCTCCCTGGCTTCCTCTGGTGCTGCAACCTCAGCATCCCTGCAGCCAGGACACTCTGTGCCTTCCAGAGCCCCAGGGTCAGGCCAGAATCCCAGCTCCTGGCTCAGGTCTCTGCTGAAACCCGCAGAACAGCACCTGACACCCAGGTGGGCCCCCCCAATATGTCAATCAATCAGAAACAGGAAGCAAGCACAGCCAGTGCGTTTCAGGATGGTGCCTGCCCTCCACCGTCGGAAGGGGACGTGCTGGTGGAGAGGCCTGACCTGCACGCGGCTGGCCCAGCAGGGTCCATGAGTGCTCTGGGCACTCAGGGGCCACCACAAGTCCCTTGACGGGGCACGCTGCCCCTCTCTCCCTCCCACTGGCTCCATGGCCACCTGAAAGCATGATGGCCCTGAGGCAAAGCTGGTAGCCATCCTGGTGCAGCAGCTGCTGGCACCCACAGGTTAGGCCCCAATTTCATCCAGACGCAGGGCTGCTCTCCCATGAACACCCCCTTCCTGCATGTCTCCCGACTCTGATAAAAGCCAGGACATCCCCTCAGCCCCAGGGGCATGTCCTGCACGGTTTCCAGCCTGGAGCAGCGCCTTCCCCTCAAACATTTACTCCCCTGCCCGGATCTTCTGCAACAATCCCGCAGCTGGTGCTTCCAGGTGGCAGCCCCCTCGCAGCTGTGGTCACACCTGTGCCTCTGTCGCCCCAGGGCCGACCCCAGGTCTGAAATGCCGGCACTCTGCTGTTTAGCTGGACAGGAACTGAGCATCCAGGGCGGCAACCTGAACGCCAGCCCTCAGCAAGCCTGCCTTCTAGGACACGGGGTTCATCTCTCCTGCTAAGGAGGAAAGAAAGGCTCCAACAGGTGAAGGTCTACCCCAAGGTCAGAGCCCTCTGACCCGACTCGGCATAAAGCAAGAGCGCCACGTCTTCCAACACAGGCTCTGGAAGGGCGGGCGCTGCTCGCGGGGGCCCCTCCCTTCTGACGCCCATGGAGGCAGCCTGGGGGACAGCCTGACCCTGAGGCGTGGCCTGGACTGAGCCGCGCGGGGGTCGAAGGGCTGGTTCCGCAAGCGGCAACCGACAGGAGACCGAAGCCGTGGGTGACCAACACCCGCCCAGGTCCCGGCACGGGGGCAGGTGCCCGTGCTGGTGACGGTCACTGCTACGTGCCTGGGCGAGCGGAGACCATGTCATCCAGGAGAGCAGCAGACGCCAGAGAAAGGCGCTCCGGACGGCGGGCCCAGGGGGACTCTGCAGCCGGGTGGCCCGGGAGCAGGGGCGAGGGCCCGACCCGCGCGCTGGAGCGGCGGCGGGGGCCGGCCGCGGCGGGGCTGCGCGGGGGCCGTCCCGGGGCCTCGGGGCGGCCGTCGCCCCCAGCCCCAGGCGCCCGCGCGACCCCGACGGCCCCTCCGCCGAGCCCCGCCGCTCACCAGAAGAAGGTGTTGGTGCCGTCGTCGTAGACCTCGGACTCCGTGCTGCGGCGGCCCGCGCCCCGCCCGCTCGCTCCGCCCGCGGCCGCCCCGTCCGGCGGCTCCTCCAGCGAGGCCTTGCCCGCGGGCACCGGGGACCCCGGCCGCGGGCCCCCGGCGCCTCTGCGCTCGCCCCTCCGCATGGCGCCCGCCCTGCCGCGGCGCCCGCCCTGCCGCTCCGCCCCGCGCCTTGACCCCACGTACTGCGGGTCACCGCGAGGGCGCGCGGCGCGGGGAGCGCCGGGAAGGGGTCGCTGCGATGCCCCGGCGGGGTCTCAGGAGAGCACGGGCGAGGGGCGGCGAGGAAAGGGTGGGCTGTGCATTGTGGGACTTGGAGTCCGCGCGCCTGGGCCGCGGGGCACGCTGGACCTCGTAGTCTCTGAGGCCGCGGGTGGGAAGCGGTGCTTGCTGGGAAGGATGCCGCCTGGTTGCTAGGAAGCCGGAACCGGCCGTCCCCGGGGCCGCGGGTGGGGGCTGCCCCAGACCCTCGGGCTCCCGCGGGCCGGGCCCCAGCCCCTCTCGCCCCTTCCCGCCCCGCCCCCGGGCTGCCCCGGAGCGTCCTCCCGCCGCGAGCCCGCACCCCGACCCTCTGGGGCTCCGCCCCACCGCCCACCCGCGTGTGCGTCCGCGCGGCTCGGGGTCCAGGCTGCAGGGTCCGCCGGCTCGGGCAGGTGTCTCGCGGGGCTTCGCGGGCAGAGAGGCGTGGACTCCCGGACTTGGGTGACTCAGATTGTTCGCGTCCCCCGCCTGGCCCCGAGCCCCTGGAAGACCGGGCCGGCTCCTCAGAGGGCTCAGCGCGGAGTGACCCTGGGGCCCAGCACGTCCGCTCCCGGACACGCGCGGGAGGGGTGCGCGCGAGGCCTCACAGGACAGGGCCTCGCGGTGGACAGCAGCCGTCGTCGTGATAGCCAAAGGGGGAGCCCCGCACGTGCCCCTCCTGGTGCATGGGAACCCCAGACGGGGTCTAGCCAAGCCGTGGGGAGCCCCTCCGCCTAAGGGGACTGGAGTGCTGACACCCGCTGTGACACGGGGAACCCTGGAAACGGGGTGTCGGTGGAAGAAGCCCGTCACCAAAGTCACGCGCGATCCGTTGACACGAAGGGAGCAGAACAGGCAAACCCACAGGGACGAAGATGGTCCCCGCAGGCTGGGACACCGAGCGCGGCGCGGGAGACGGCGGCTGCAGGCTGCTGGGTTTCTTCTCCAGGCCGTGAAAATCCTCTAAAATGGACTCTGGTGATGGTCGCACGCACTGGACGGTGCACTCCGGATGGGCGAACTGTGCGGTGTGCGAACTACGCCTCAAGCCAGGCTGTTGCTAATGTGTGTGTGTGTGTGTGTGTGTGTGTGTGTGTGTGTGTTGTCGATACTAAAATAAAACTATCGGTTATTTTGCACGCAAAATGGGTTTATTCTGGAATAAAATTGCGACCTAGGACAAGCCAGCTGTGAGAAAACCAAAGGCAAATCCTGGGAACAGAGGGCAGGGCAGCTTATTTATACAGGAAGGGGAAGAGTTGGGGAAGGGGGGTGTTAGAAGTGCAAAGCCCAGCCTGGGAGCTGGAAGTATAGTAGCTTCTCCTTGGCTGTGAAAGGGGAAATCTTGCTTCCTCTGCTGGGGTTGTAAATCCACCTGCTTGGCGGTGACCACTGCTACTGGGCGCTGGCCTCCTGACTCCATTCTACAAGAGAGTTTCCTTTTACTAATTTTCACATTTCCCTCTTTGGATCGGGATCATCCTTTGAAGGCATCCTGATCAAGAGTCAGGTTTTCCGTACTTAGTGCTTTTGTCCCTTGGGGCCAGGAAGGACCTTTTCTGGTTGTCATGTTCCACGTTGGAGAGAAAGTGCACAGCTGTGGAAAAGCACTTAAGGACACATTTGAGTAACAAGGAAGGTCAGGAGGGAGACCTCCAAGGCACTTCCCATCTCTAGTTCATATTTACCAGGATCATAAGCATTGGAGGTCATGTATTGAGTACATAATTTTCACAAAAGTTTGAGAGGCAACAAAATTCAAAACTTAAAATAACCACACGAAACAGAAGTAACACTGCAATTCCAAATTGCGTGATGGTGCTAAACTAGGACCCTTGGTCTGAAAGCAGCCAACTTGTATTTATCGGTCCTTATTCTGACTTACAGAGAAGGTTCTCCCCACAAAGACAGTGCTGGAGTCACACAGGGCTCCCAAAAGCCCCCACCGGCAGCCGTGAAAGCAGAGTAGTGAAGACATCAAGAGGACATGGAAAGAATTAATCGGGTGTGTGGGGGGAGATACAATGCAGGTATGAACGTGAAGCAACAGCTGATGAACTTTTTGGAAAAATAGCAAAACTTCAAAGATGTGTTAAAACAGCATTGTTATGTCAAAAGAACTGTTTGGAAACAAATGTTATCCAATAAGACAGACTGTAAGGTTGCAAATTCAGAGGCCATGAATTTGGAAAGGAATCCAGAGCCAGACACACATTCAGATGAAAGAAAGAATTGTGAATTCTGAAACTTCTAACCGTTCAGGAAAAAACAGCTGAAAAAATTAATCTGTTACAAGATCATGATGAAGCTGTTTCCAAAAGGCCATGATCTAAAAAGGTTTTCTCTTTCTCAGTGGTTTGGGAAATGCAGACAAGGACACTGTCTTTCCATGAGAGAGAAGCAGCAACAGTGAGAAAGGGCCCACAGGCCTATCCAGACACCTTGGGAAAGTGTCTGGCCAGAGGTTGTCTGCTGCCATTCCAGGAAATCTTTTTATTTTTGTTTTAAGATTTTATTTATTTGAAAGAGAGCACACCAGCAGGGAGGGGCGGAGGGGCAGAAGGAGAGGGAGAAGCCAACTCTTCCCCGAGCAGAGAGCCCAACATGGGGCTCCATCCCAGGACCCCGATCGTGACCTGAGCCAAAGGTAGACGCCTCACCGACTGAGCCCCCCAGGAGTCCCCCAAGGAAATCCTGACTTTCAGGTCACTAGATGGCATGCAGGGGCAGTCAGGGATCGGTGCTTTCTTCAGATGCGTGCTGTGGCTCTGAGAGTCTCGTCCCTGGGATTTGGCAGCACAGGGTTGGTTCAAGGTTCCTGATAAGGGCCTTTCCAGAGAGGTTGAAGAGAATCTTTCCGGGTTTCTTTTCCCATGAACGAAATCTCCAATTTGCAAGATATGATACTTAAGGTCGTCGTCTCCGGGGCACACAGTGAAAAGATGGCTGTTTGTAACGGGAGCGGTTGGGCCTCTGCGGCACTGACCCTTGTCTCCTCTTACCCGCTGTGGGCCGGAGGCAGGGGCCAAGGGCACTGGGATGTCCTGTGACGGCCTTGAAGGGCGAGAGTGTGTGAGTTCTCAAGAGAGGGGATTTGAGGTTCAGTTGGACCAATGGCAGCTCTTCTGCTGAGGTGCTGGGGGGCCTCTACAGGTTGTGCCGCCTGAGTCTTAACAGTGGCGCTAGTGGGTTTGAGAAGCTCTGAGGACGGAGGGTGGTCCGCACCGTGCGAGTGCCGGAAAACCTTCGGAACAGCACACAGCTGTCGAAGAACCTGACCTGTAAAACGGACTCCTGGGCCACGGGGAGTTGGGAAGGGTTCCCAGGTAGGGATAATCTTTTCTAGCAGAATCCTAGCCACCAGAGTAGCATGGCCTGCCTGCCAGAGAAAACCTGGGTCCAGAGAGAGAACAAGCAAACTGTGACTAAAACGCGTTGATCTCCACAGGATGGGGAAGCTATGAGCTCCGTTTGTGTGAGCGGGAATTCTGTGCATTGTACGTCCGACAGGCAGGACCGGCACATTGGCAACGCTTGTGGCCTTATTACTATATCTCCACCAATGTTGGTTCCCCAGTGCTAGCATTTCACCAGTAGGTTAAATCTTGTACAGTGCTAAGTAGTGGGAATTTTGGAATTTCTGGTACAGTTGGATTATTATTGGATCCAAACCAGAGTTCTATCAAAGAAACAATTATTAGATTTCCCATCTGACTTTCCCACTCTCGGATCAGTGGGTGGGCATTTGTTGATCCATTTTTCCACATATCATGGAGAATATTCCTTTGGACCAGAGGTTTGGCTATTGATCTCTTTGGGAGCGATGTTTTGTTTTGTTTTGGTTTTTGTGGACCTATCAGTGGGGTGGTTTCCTTCAGCCTCCAGGGTGTTGAGTCTGGAGTGCCCGGGAATATTAAAAGTAACCAGAGCCACTGGCAAGAGTATGCCATTTAATAAATTCTGCACATAGGGGCCATTTTAAATTTTAGCCCCGCTGGAGGCAAGGACAGTTCATTGTTTCCATACTGTTCCAGGTCACGAGCTACCCCCCCACACCCAGTGACATGCCAGCCATAGGTTCAACCATTTGTGGTTTTACCGCTGGCTAGGGTACCGGCTGGAATAAGGGGCTGGGCCGACATAGCCGGAGTACAGGTGCCGCTCGAAGAGTTCAGATGGGAGTTGCCACGGCACATCCGACACGACACTTACCAGCGCCATCTGTTAGACAAGAACCACCAGCAAACCAAGACAAAGCTGCATAAGAGGAATTTCCTATAAATTGCCAGAAGGAGTCGACATGTGAGGGCTTTCGTCTGAGTCCAAGGGCAGTCCTTGTTTTGGGATGGAATGCCGTGACAATCTGACCTGCGGGTTTTTCTCTGGCGACCACGATCTCCCTTTCAGGCCGAAAGTTTTAACAGGTAGATGCTGTTTCCTGTGAAGAGATTTGAGAAGGGGAGCGGAGAATGAGATCATCTATGAACTGCAACAAAACAGAGCCTGAAGGAACCTTTCTATTGTCTGGGTCAGCTTCCAGGTTTGTGAAAAGTAAGAAGGACTCAGAGGCCCGGGGCACGATCGCCCAGATGCACTGCTGTTCTTCCCCAGTGAGCGCAGAAGGGCGTTGGCTATGCGTATCCACCAGAACACCAAAAGAGGCACCGCCTGGGTCACTTACAGTGAAAATTTTTCTTTCAGTGCAAATTACTGTGTGTACAACATGAGGGTCGGGAACAGCAGGGTGGAGGGACAACAAGGCTCGTGGCTGCTCGGAGGTCCCAGACGAACCTCCATCCTCCGCGGCGGGATTTTCCCACAGGTAAAGTAAGGGTGTTACAGGGACTAGTGTAGGAGACAGCCAGGCCCTGAGCCTCACGATCCT